GAAGGCCTCCAGTTGTCTTCTCTCTGTTTAGCATGAAGAAATGCCTTGTACCTTCCAATGGGTTTCCTTGGAATCGTATAAAATGAAACATTATCGCCACAAGTGTTTCCCTTTCGAGGTTTTAACTTGTTTGTACACCAGGGGACACAGCAAAATCCAATCATCGATTCAATAGCCACCTAACAAAATAATAAAGAGTAGTTGTCATTGGAAAAAAATGAGTACTCAAACTGTTAAAATTCATGGGGCGAAATGACATTAACGTTACAAAATTTCATCGTGACGTGAGTACTAGTATATCATAGCTTGACCGTGACAAATTTGCCGATCCTCTACAAAAAATACTGCCCAAAAATATTTCTAAAAGTTCATTATTAATCAGAGTATGTATCCATGTTATGTATTCTATTCAAAGTCCACGAAATGTGAACATAAAACGTGAATGTAATGCTTACCCGACAAGACGTTTTGCTTTCGTTTTGCTCTGACTTCCGTATCCTAACTAGGTCAAACGGTCAATTTACATACCGATGCGCGTGCGCACAACGGGCTTCCGGTAGAATGCGCAAAAGGTCTACTGTTATTGTTGGGTTAAACATTGACTAATGATTATCACAATTGTCTTTACAGTGATTGTTTTATTCCACCCAGTAAATTCTTTGCTGCCTTGAATCAATTCTGTAATAATATATACAACGCGATTGTAACTATCCCTCCTTACATCATGTCAAAGTAAGTGAAACATATTTAGAATTTCCGTTTCATTTGCATTGTGTCTGAAATTTTAGTATAGTTAGCGACCGGTGCACGTAACTATGGTAATCATCATAATCCTATGTAGAAGAGCATATGCATGTTCTGCAACGATGCTTGCCTAGTGGATTAAATGTTGATTAATTTGTTGATCCACAGTGAAACAAACATTTTTGTGTAAACTCGTATACATGTAAACTCATGATTTCAGACTAAATAGCTGGAAAATTCAAATTATGTTCCGTTTATCGGTATTCGTTTTCAAAATAGAAAAAAATCCTGTGAATTTAAAGACCAACGCGTTCAGGTATGCACGGCAGTCACGGTAAAATGGCAAATACGTGAAGAAAATCCACATAGCCTGGGCGTGACCACATGGTTTCAATATCTTTGGAATTGTATAAAGCGCGAGGGAAAATGTATATTGATTATTTAATAAATTCCCATAAAATGCCTTGACGAAATTCACTGTACGACCCTAGTTTAGAAATTTTCTGTTTTGTTGGTATTCGAACGGAAGAACACAAGTGACATTATTTGCAAATGACCGTCGAACTCTCGTTGGGAGCGAGAGCATGTGAGTTATTTTTTGTCAACACGTGTCCCATTCTCCACTGTCATCGCGCCCACTGTTCAAAATACCATGGCTATATAGGACAGATGAACAATGGTCGAAATGGTAGAGAATTAAATACTATTAAGAGAGGAGGAAAGCCACATGACTAATTCCCTCTAAACTAGAACTAATTTAGTCTTACGATATAACCATGGGCAAGAAACAATAATTTTCACAAAAATGACACTATAAACATATCTATGAACATGTCTCTGTGTCTGTGTCTATGTTGTTTGGCAGGTACACTCAACGTGAACAATTTTTCGCTATTTTGGCGTTTTCAGTAGCTATTATATGGACAATGCTTATCAGCGGATTGGCATACCCCAATATCTCAACGTTCGAATATAGGAATCCATGGATTCAACGTGGTATGGTCTGGATAAAAACGTCGTTAGGACAGTATGTATTAACAGATTTGGCGCCAAGAGTGATAGAAAGGGATAATACGGAATTATATTCAGATTCGACTGCAAGTAAGGTAAAATACTACAATGGATTTCTTTTTTGTAACATATTTTGTATTCTGGTTAAAAGTAGGCATGTAAAGAAAGAGAAACCGTTTCACCCAAAATAAAAATAGAAAGCTGTTGATAAATTATGAAATGAAGAGGGTGGGAGGTCGAGAAAGATTTGTTTTTAGGGAGACGATTTTTGATTGGCGGACACCCATCAGAGGGTAGTGTTAACAAAGGTTATTTCCAATGTGTAATATTGAAATGGAACACCACTTCACACAGTACAGGGACATCATTTTACGTAGACAAATTGAAGTCACCATTACTAACCATTAAGGCAAAATAAGAGCACATAAGAACGACTGATATTGAAAAGTTCGAGGATATCATACCAATATAGATACATATATTGGTATGATATATACCTAACCCGAAATCGTATTTACAATAAATACGTAGGTTTTGTGTAGTATTGCAAATATGCACATGCATATACATCATGCATGCAATCACACGCAGATTGACTAGAATGGATCACGTGACTTTAATAGCATTTATATCGATTTCACACCAGACTTTCCAATCAGTAAAGATAGAAGTTAGACAGAGGAAAACGCTTTAACACATAGTATGTAACTTTCACTAGTTATAACAACTTATTGAACATACAATAATAGCAATATATCTATTGTTGTAAGATGTGAATGTAGTATAATAATGTATTATTTTCACAATTGGAATGTTTGGGCTTAAAACATTCTGGAATTATCACGATCTGTAAAAGCGAATTCATATATTTAGAGTTTGACACAATTCGGTAGCTCACTACTTATAAAATTAACAGATTTTGTGATTTTGCATTAGAGGACTGCCAATGAAACCAAGATCAAAGTGGTCGATGTGGACAATATAAATGGACTTGAACGTTCTTCACTGCGGCACTTTGGAAAGTCTAATTGGACGAATGTTAACAACTCCAGCGTACTGCATAATATGACGTATATCATTCCAATTTATAAGTTAGGACCAGGTCCGAGTACTGCATACAAAAAGATTAGATGGACAGTTGCACTAGCTTTATATTATGGTATGGGTACGGTGGCGATATCTGTTCAGGACCACAGAACGCAATCAAAAATGTATGAATCTTCTCGAATGAAATTTGAAAAAACCTACGATCTGGAACGTCTACGGCAAATTATACCAGTGATCTCTCCAACAGCAGTGGAGCGTCTATGTAGAGACAGATTATACCCGGACGTTATCAGAGTGGCAAATAAGGATAATAAGAAGTACCTTGACTTTGACGTTGTGAAGAAGTATCCATTAATTAGATATCTTGATGGTAAGTAACCATATACACGTGACCGCGTGTTTTACACATTTCTGGCATAAATTACGATTCTTAACCTGCAATAAAACAATATCTAACAATTGGTATTAATGTGTTCGTCTTTCTATAAAATAGTATACACAGCAATTAATGGGAAAACAAATGCTCAAAATTCTATCATCATTTGTATCCTCGCACGATTTATAATTATCCATGTCGCTCCATCAAAAAAGTGCATTCAAAATTTCAAGTATTACCTATACCATTATATGCTGCCTTTTTTTAATCACGTTGATCGATTTTTTTTTCTTGCTTCCAGATAATCTACCTGCCTACAACAATTTACTGAACATATCCGTACCCAAACAATCGATCCACATACAAAATATTGATTTAAAATCGATTTCGGAATCACGACATTGCATCCGTGTTGTCCCATATGAAATTGACATTCATAGAAAAAAAAAGAAGGAAGTTAATGACGTACTTGATCGCTACCTCATCAGAGCCAAGTACATCCGGGATATCGCAGAGACGGCAATCAGTAGCATATGCAATGGAACATTTGCAGTGATGCATTGGAGGAATAAGACCGGAGAAAAGTAAGATATGTTCAATATGAAAAAAACACAAGTTGGCTAAGCGTGTACATTTAATTTACCAAGGATACATCACTACAGCTAATTAAACCCAAATTACTCAAACAGGTGTTTGGGAAAATAGGAAAAAGTTGCGCTGTTTCACAATGTACGGCTTACATATGCTGCATATTTTTGTAATGTTACATCTTATTAGATGTATTCCAACCATTGAATACATTGACATCGCAGTTGAGTCCAAGCATGTGTACAAGGTCGACTTTGCTCGAACTGTTGATGTTAGACAAACAATCAATCACATTCACACTCGGAACTATAGTTTTTGGCATTGAAATATCAATGACTTAGTTGTTTGCATTGCAACAGATCGGAGCTACAAACAACACGTACACGATTTTATGAGTGTGCACCCTCGATTTGTGCAATGTGTTCTACAGTACTAATAATCATCTATATCAATATCGTTATGTATTATACAATTGTTTATGATTTCAAAACTTTGAATGATGACTGTAAGCGTCTCGCTAGACCGCACGTGTGTCATTAAAACTCAAAATAGTTAGCAACTTACGGGCGTCTCACAAGTACATATCAGATACATACAATACTATACCCTTTTAAGGCATAGAAATTTAAAGTACCCTATGATTCGCGCCCTCTAGCACCAAAAACTTTTTCTGTGACATGAAAATGACATAGATTGGTGAAAACGACGTTGTTCAAAACGACTATTTTGTTTCGTTGTGTGGTTATTTATTTATCTGTTGGAATAAATAACATTTTAAAAGCATTATTTTATTTCGATAATCAATCACTGGAGTCTTTTAGTGGTATGGGTGAAAACGTTGCAGCCACGAGTCCTATTTTTTACAATTGATGTGTGTATATTTAGTAAATAATTGATAATATTTTTCAATGATAATTACACAGAAGTATTCTCCCATGACACACCAGTAACACGCACAGTGATGCAGACTTTAAATTCAGCTTGCTTTCCAATACTTGTTATTATTATGCCCTAACGGTGTAACATACCCAGTTGTGAATTTAATGATATGCAAATGCATATTTAAGTAATATTCATAATGTGCCATTCTTTATTGTTTTTGCTCGAAACTTGGCAAGCCTTTAGCAATATATATGTCTATCAATCAATTCCATGTACTTCAAATTATATATTCCAATGACCCTATGCAGAAATTTGTGCTGACTTGCATGTTAATTTCAACTTCACATCATGTTGATACATATCGATGTATCTTGCATTTAAGATGTGGGTTGTTTGACATATGCACTCGAAGACAGAAGTTGCACTTGCCTAACTTGGTAGAGGGTGTTGTACCTTTGATAGTTACTGGAGTGTTTAATATTACTACAAATGCTCATCTTAACTGTCTTTACATCGCAAAACCAAACTACGAACAGGTGAGTATATTGAATTGCGGCATGTATTAGCGAGACACATATTGTAGTAATAGGTGGCGAACTTAATAGTTTTGTATCGCCATTTGCTGTAATGTCCAGTATATACAGTTGTATTGTTTATGTATATTACTTGTGTTGCTATACGCCCCTCACAGGTGATGGATGGCATGTTCAGCCAGTC